CAAACATTGGAAAACAGTTGAAAATTTCACGCACCAGCGCATGAAAGCTGAATTTGAAACCTTGAAAGGTGAACATCTTTCCGTGATTCCCGAGTTAATAGTTCACCCACCAAAACTTTCACTAGCCCATAGGTGATACCCGAGGGCGCGAAAACGCTGAATTTGAATGGGTAAGGTTGAGCGTGGGCAGGGAGTCATTAGCCTAAAATTTCAGCCTCCTAGATTCCTTGGTTCCCGAGATATTAATTAACCCGCAAAAAACTTCCACGGGGCCATACTTATTACACGCGGGTACGGGGAAGCTGAATTTAAATTTGCGGGGTCACACGTGGATGGGGAACGTTCCCCTAAATTTTCTGCTTCCTGGATTTTGTGGCTCCCGAGTTGAAAGTTGCGAACAAACACACACAGACAACCCCGTGACAATATGCGTTTTGTAACGCTGTTACACAGCACAAAACGCATAAAAACTATCAAAAATTTGCCAACTCCACCAACTGCACGAAGGTTACACTGTAACAGCCAATTTAAGTACCCAAGTAAATAAAGCAGCAATCATTAAACACTTCAAAACAACCCTAACATTGGTTCTAACACGATTTCGCAACAAAAGAACAGAAGATACGCTTTGAATCATGACGAACTGTCTGTCTGTCTGTCTGTATGTGTATTTATGTGTGCCTAAACATACGTGTGTGCTTGTGTGTGTGTGTGTGTCTGTGTATGTGTACACACTATAGGTAATGTATGTTTGTATTGGTGGGTGAATGTACGTTCGATTTCACTGCTGGCATTCCGGGAATACCAAAATGGCTAGAGTGCAACGCGAAACTACGTACCTGTTCAAAATTTTTCATGACTATTTCTGTTCCGGCGTCACGTGCTGCTACCAAAGCTGCTTCATTACAAACATTCGCAACATCTGCTCCTAAAATAACATTTCACAATGTCTTGACAAAATTTATACCATCAATACCTGGATGAGCAGTGGGATAGAAATGCGTCATACCCGAAAATCCGGGAGTTAAAGCGGCCAGCTTCCTTGACAGTTCCACTTTATCAAGACT